TGAAAGTTGTTGAATTATATAAAATGTTAAATTTCTATAGTTAAGTGGATTAGTTCGTTACTTTTTCATACGATACACGAATGACAAATTTTTTTTTTCTTAAATTATTTACGATATTTCCCGTTCACTTTGCTAAATTTACAATTTTAAAATGTATAACGTTTATTTTAAACAATATAAATAGTAAAAACGTTTTAATGGTGTTTTTAATTAGCGTACTTTTGCATTAATCAACATGAAATTCTCATATAAGTTCGCCTATTTTATCTCCTTAAATAGTTTAATTATTATCAATTTTAATTATAATTATATTAGAAATTAAAACTACATTGTTTTATTAATATAATTAAATAGAATTAATGAGTATTTTCTTATTTTTATATACAGAAAAGATAAAGTTGTTTGTTTAGGCCTAGGCCTACTTTTTTTTAATGCAAATAACGAGTAATATAATAAAGATGGTTGCCAATCGCTTCAGTTCAGCAATTTTGAAACTTGTCGACAGCTATGGGAGACAACAACTGAATTTTGTCACGCATATTCTATGACATGAAATATACTTATAGTGACACGGATCTACTATGAAGTGTTATGTTATTCGTTCATGCTACAATTTTAATAAGTAGCAAATATTTTTATTAATTGCTAATGATATACCAGAACAATAACATGTGTGTGCTTTTACAATAAACCGTACAGAATATGTTAATAAAGCTTCTTTTACAGGCCTCGTGTAAACACATTAAAAGATATCAAAGACTATGCGGGTATATTTGATGGGAATGTTAATGGATTTAAATATTTAAATACACTACGTGATAGTTAAATTAATTGATAATTAGGCCGAAAGAATGTTTTTTTTTTTTAATTTCTAGTTCCTTTTAAATTTATATTTTATAGACATGCTAAATTAAGTATAGAAACGTTACTGTGTTGCTTTATCAATCACTATGCTTTAAAAGTTTTCTTGTATCTATCCACCTGTGCTGTTATTATAACGATAAATCATCAGTAACGTTAAGAAACAAAATATCACTATTTATATTAATTTTCCTTACCGAAAATCATTAAATTTTATATTTTAATATATTAAAAAAATAACCTATCCAAAAACAAAATTTCTACGTTTTCGATTCGGACAATTCGTTTTGCTTTCTTAATTAAATCATTTTTAAAACGATTTTCTAATTATAACAATATAAATTCTTATTAAATACACGTAATCGCATTTATAATAATCGAAATTATTCAAGGATCAATTGAAAATTTACTTGTAATAATATAATCTATCGAAATATTAATATGTCCCAATTCACAATACCTTTAATCAGATTAATAGTGATAAATGTATACACGATATCTCAATCATCTACAATTTTATGACGTCATTAACGATGGAAGAAGAAATCCAACCTCCCTTCTAAAGTATGGATAAGATTTTCATTCTCATTAGCCAAAGCTTAGTTGTAATGTTCTATCAAAAAGAGAAAGTCATCGCACGTAACCTAGACATAGCTTTTACAAGGCACGCAGTTGCAGGCTGTGGTAAAGTGGCGCCGGTCGTAAGGATTAGGACATGTACGTGACATTCCGACTAGAAGTGTGGAGATGAAAGAGGAAGTAGCAAACTGATCCATTTTTATCCTTTCCATGTTAAGTAGATCATTCCAAACAAGTTAATACATCAACTGTTATATGCACTTAGCCAAGGTAATTGTTATTATCAGAATTTTGGAAAGTAATTATTGGAAAATATCCAATTTTTGTTACGATTTTTTCCCTTCTCTCTCTATGGTTAAACTATAAAAGTGTAGTTGTATAATGGAAATTTATTTTATACAACTTTGAATGTACATAATTTATATACTATTAATTGGTTTCTGTGTAAAATTAAAAGATGTTTCTCTGTTTTTTTAACCTTTTTTGTGGAATCAATCTAATGTTATTGATATTTGTGTGAATGTGTTGATGTAATTGGCCTGCTAAATAAATATATGAGTCTGCTGATAATTATATATTAACATTGTATAGCAGATCTTTTATGCAATATATATATTCCATATATATAATGTCACATCTTTAATATATTGATATCATTCTGGTACAGGTGTATCTTATAAATTTATTACAAATTTTGCTTGTATAAAGATTTCTTTACATATCACTACAGTAAAGAAAAACACATATACGAAATAGACATTTGCATAATACAGTTTCGTAAATCATAATATATAAATTTTATATTAAACATGCGTTTTGCTAAGGTTTGACTGTGTTATTTTTGAAGGAAATGTGCTTACGATTGACATTATGTTCAATGCAATTGCAATTCTACACAAATAGCTGTCATATACTGTACGGTATTAAGTATAGTTTGTGTTTAGATATATGTAAGTAATCTATTGCATATGAAAGTGCATCATTAGACATGCAAATGAATATAAAATTTGCGTTTGATATATTATGATTCATAAGCACTTCACATTAAGTCTTAACTTATTAATGTAAAGAGGTTATATATCTATGAATATATTATTATATGATGCCAGTACATACTTATACACCTTTATATATTTCTATAAGAATAATTACGGTTTTATATAAGTATATTCTAAGCACATATGTACAGTACTATACACAATATACAATAGAATATTTTAAAGCAATTTATCACAATTACAGCTTTAAATTAGTTACGTAAAAACTTATTTTTATACTTATAACATTATTCTATTTATAAAATCTATGATAAAAAAAAGTTAAAAATCAAGATCATGATAAAGTTTTAATGCAATTTCCATTCAAGTTCTCTAGCATTAACAATAATACGTGTGTTAGATTAATATCACTGTTGACGTGAGATATTATTACATGTAAAGTATCACCGCAAAAGCAATTATATTGTCGACATCAATTAGATTTATTGTTAAAGAGATCGAATAAAGCAGAAATCATAACTTAGAGAAAATAAGTACAAATTATGCGCTATTTACATTTGAATTTATATGCGTTAAATAAATGAAAATTTTTTATTAAAACAATCAATTATATTCCTACTCAAATATCACAGTTACTGTCAATAAAGTTCTTTTCTTTAAACTACTTTAGTCAAGTCAAGTATACTTATGTCAAGTATCCTAAATCAGATTAATGTTCGGCATTCCCTCTCTGGGTATTTTTTTTTCTTCTTATATTCATTCTTTCCACAAGAAACTGTGATTATCTTTTGGCAAAATTACATAGTACCCCGAAGATATATTATATTCGATAAATGGATTTCTGTCGGATTTACAGACATTATAAACTACTGTATCATCGATTAGATAGCTACTGATACTTAAAAAAAAAAAAAGAGTGTACGATCTGTACAACCATTCCCCCATTTTTTGAGTAACCCATCTGTTCATTTTACCACTCCCACTGCTCGTAGGTGCTTTTGTATTACTATCTGAATTGCTGACTCACTCCTTCCCTCACAGCATCACCAGGACCCTTCTGTCGTATTCGGGCTTTTGTACACATTCACAAGTTTCTTAATATTTATCTAAAAGTGTATGTTATAAGAGGTATACGCGTACAGTACACTGTCATTTGATATTACATGTTACTAACAAAGACGTTAACTTGAATAATCTGGACGTCTATAAAAACATTAACGTTAATCCTGTTGATATTAGCTTTAGGAAATATCGAAAAATGAGATTGGTCGAGTTAATCCTATCAAAGCTGCGAAGTGGGAAAGTTAATATAGTTATCTCAATGAATTTATCTAGTTTTATGTTTACTTTTCATTTACATTGATTCTGACTATAGTTTTCCCAAATTAAGTTTTAGTATCTACATTCCTTTAAAAGGGGAGGAGGGGTAAAAACAAAAGTTTAAAAATAAATTCCGTTTAATAAATTATGGATTTTACTTTAGAAAACTACTGTACTGATCATCGATTCCTCAGTCATACATGTAATCCATTGGAGAAGATGTAGCAGACTTAGATCAATTATCTTAAAGACACGCAACGTTTGCGTGTTAGTTAGATTTGGCGAATTAACGTATCCAAGAAGAAATTCATCTTAGACTTTTACATATTTGCCAAAGTGAAAAAAAGAAAGTTTAACTAAAGCCGAAGCGGTAAGCAATGCTTTAATTTTACTATAATGAATTCTGCTTCAGGTTCTTTGTGTAAAGGAAGTGAAGAGGCCCGCATCTATGTAACCCACAATGAATAGTACAATATTTATTGTTCTCCGTTCCGTATAGTTCTAAAATAAAAGTCCACTTCGATGTTTTTGTCCGGTTGAATAAATATATATATATATATATATATATAAGTTATATAGGATTTTCTGTATAGGATAAAAGATTATAAGAATTTCTTAGTTTAGTTCCTGTAAAATATTAAAGGTTCTATCGAATAGGATCGTATCGTGTAGTACATCTAAATAAGATTATGTTCTAAAATCTCTAGCGATAAGTAAACAAAACTACAGTTTTATCATTTTAAAATAGTAGAAAAAAGGGGAAAAAATGCATTCAGAGGTGGAACCATCTCTAAGTGCATTTCTATTATACCATTTTTTTTATATTTTGTATTTTAAGAAAGGTGGCAAAATGTGCTGCAGATTTTTCTTTAGTGTCTCCTCCTTATCTTTTGCGGCCAGTGTTGTGTCGATTCCACGTTTCTGTTTTTTTTTCCTTTTTTTCCCTCCACCCCTCCCATCCTCCATTCCTCCTTTGATCGGTTTACAAGAAACACGGCAAAAGTTTTACCAGAAAGTCGATACAAAGATAATATCAAAGCCCCACTAATAACAAATACTTCTAACCAAAAAGTCAGCAAAAAAAAAAAAAATTTTTTTTTTAAAGTCTACAAGTCGAAAATAATTGGCAATGATAATCGACTTAGGGACGAAGTACGGTAATACACGGGATAACATATAATAAGATACTTATTATTATTTTTTGAAGACACGTGACGTATCGAAAATTACTTAATCACTTACCAAGAGTTGTACAGCTGATAATGTGTAGAGTGAACAGTATTAAGCCGAGTATAACAGAAACCTTGCTTCTATTCCACACTTGTCGCGTTTCCGTCATGTCTCTTCTTATATACTATTATACAGCGTACATGATCAGGGGTATCAGTTTAGTATAATCGGTGTCGAACAAGGCAGTTAACCAGCATACCTCTGAGAGACTGTGTTGTTGAGCGCACAACAGCTTCACTGTTAGCACGCATCCACCAGACACACACACTACGCTCACTCTCTCTCTCTCTCTGGTTGTTGTGGCGTCTGACTCAACGTCACCAACTGAAAGCCTGCTCCGCCGGTCACGTGATCTCCCGAGTTAGCTGCCTTTAGGATGATTTATAAGTTCAGTGAATGGAAATCGCGAAACGTTCAAAGTTGTCTTCACTCCGGATAGAAGGAGGGGAAAAGGGGGGGGAGTTCAATGAGTGATGACGTGTGCGATGTCTCGTTTTAATCACTGTAAAGATCCGACTTAACTTTAATATGAACAACCGGATATTGGGATTGAGTTTCTAACAGCCATATATTGATCAGAGGGTTTATCCTTACGTAATAGAGAATTAAACTATGTTTGCGCTTCATTGGTTCTGTTTAATGTTTGCTATATGAAATTCGTTTATTAACTAAGGTTATGAGAAAATTTTCGACTTGATTACATCCTATTTTAAGCTGGTTAAATAATATATTTTTTTAAAACACTTCAAAACATTTATACTTTAAAGTTCAGTATTTTTTTAAACACAAAAGTTTAAAGAAACTTTACGTTTGATGCGTGAAACGTAATACATCTGAATACAGAAAGAATCTCTCCTGAAGATTACACAGAAGCAAATATAAGAAATTAAATTTTTTATATATATAATTTGAGTAGGAAAAAAAACGTTAAAACTATTGAAAGTAAAAGACGTATAATAATAATATTTGTTGACGTAATTATAGAAATAACAGGTCAAGGGATGCCTCTTACTTATACTTTAAATATATTACGTGTACAAAATTTTTTAATTGTATATAAATGAATAATACATAGAACAAAAGACTATTCATCATTACACAATAGAAAAATCTAACACAAAATACTAAAGAAAAAACTTTGTGTTAATTTATTAATATAATAAGTCTCAAATTACAAAAATTTCAATAGAATTTTTTACAAAAAGAACAAAAAAAACAAAACAAAAAAACATCTTTTAAGACTCAAAAATAGTAAATATTGAGAAGTAANAAATTATATGTTACATTTATCAATTTTAATTTGCAAATTATATGAAATGTCATTGTATACTTCTATGAGTCACAGGATCATAAATAATTGTATTACTATCCATTTAATTAATACGATAATGCTAATCCGATTATTCAAAAAGTATGTATAATCCTGAATTAGATTTTGAATTATATTATCGTGTAAGAGTTTTTGATTTGTTTTAATACTGTACTTTTAATAATTCTATAACCGAATTAATGATATTAAATGTAAACTTATACGAATTTCATTTCGATGTTTACGGATAAAATCTTCTATATAAAAAAGTAAGTTTAAAAATATATGTTTTATTTACTCTATATACATAATATTACAGTAAAAATGCTATATGTTAGTAGGTTTTATGATATATTCAATGATAGAAAGTTTATATAGCTACCGGTAGATCAGTGATATGATTTTTATGTGATCTGAAATCTTATTTTATCACAAACTATTGGATCATAGTAGAATATGCGATAAATATTACAAATGAAATATGTTGAGTGGGTTATGTTTGTATTTATGACTTTTCCTAACAGAATATTAAATGAAACAATCTATTAAGTGAAGTAAACAGCATTTACTAATACAAACAGTATAAGCATACGTATGGAAATGCTATTGAATTTTCACGCGAATATCCTTTAAAATAACAAGAAAAAACTTAATAAAAAATTGAAGAATTCTTTCATTTTTTTATTATTAACTAAACAATCATCTGAATTAATTATGAGTATTTAAATTGAATTTTTTTCTTTAGTAAATTTAATTTGAGATTTTTTAAATTCGTTTAAATTTTTTCTCTATTTTATGACATTGTAAATAAGAGAATCGTTTATGAAAAGTTTATTGACAGTAGTGATAACGTTTGTAGGTATTTTGAAAAATTAATTTTGCAGTTTGTTCACGTAAAAATCTCAAGTCTAACAAACCACATAACAAAACTCTAGACGGGCGCCATTCCCTTTAGTCTGTCTTCAAAGAAACCAGGTTAATGCTAATTTAATGAAGTTTGAAGAAAGTAACTGACGACAAAACAAGTAAAAAAAAAGAAGAAGAAACGAAAAAAAAAAAATTAAGGAGAAATTGTACGTGTACTTTGATTTCGAGAAACTTTATAGAAATAACATCTTCAACAAGAAAATTCTGTTAAGAAATCTCTATCAAATTAATGAGCAAATTCGGTTCTTAATTATAAATTTACTTAAATTATCATTAAAAAAACGAGTTCAAAGAAGTATAAAAAAAGAGAGAATAATAATAATAATAATTAGAATAATTTTTATTTGAAATAATATAATTAAGAAAATAAAAATGAAAAAGATATAAATGTAACTTAATTATCAAAATGTGAATTGAATTTGTAATATACTTTTTTTTTTTAAAGTGCATATGTAAAAGTTCTTGTTTTCTTAAATAAAATATTAATATTAAATTTGTTATTCATAAGAAAAATCAGTCCTTACCATTTATAATTCCCAAACTCATATTAAATTCTGAAAAGGGGGGGGGAATAATTTTACTGACCTTAAGTCCCTTTGGATAGTTGAACATTATATCTGAACTACTTTCCAAAAAAATAAAAAATAAAAAAATCTTACACTGATTACTTCCTTCCGGACAATTTCCTTTTACATTTCTAAAATCTAAAAACGAATTGAAAGTCTAAACTATATAAGAAATTTCTTAAACGAAATGCGCTCTTACTTCCATAAGGTAACAAAAATTTTAAATTTAAAATATTTTTTAAATGTATTCATCAATTTATTATTTAGAATTCTTATTTTTTCATATATATATTTTCAAATATATTGTAACTACTACAAAATTCCTAAATTGTAATTTTATTTTCAAACAAGAAAAATGAAATTCTACAAAATCTAAATGTCAAACTTCTTCGTTTCGTTAAATTAGTATAAAAGAATTAGTTTCTATAAATAAAATCTGTCTTTTCTGCAAAAAAAAAATTAAATAGAATTTTAAATTAATTATTTAAAATATAATAAATCTTCTTCGGAATTTAAATTAAAATTATTTTGCTAAAGAATTAGTTGCGATATGCTGTATAACACGATTTAAGTATTCGTGCTTTTAATACATTAATAAATATATTTTCTAAATAAAAAATTTTAAAAATAAACTTAAGAAATTTATATATAAAAAAACTATATAAACTTTAAGAAATAAATATATAAAACTTAAATAAAAGTAAAATAAATTCAAATATTGGACTCTGTAATTGTAATTAATCGAAAACAAATAGATTCTTGATAAAATTTAATTGTAATTAAAAGGGAAAAATTTGATAGATGTTAAGCTTTAGAATAAGTATAAAATCGATGTTATATTTATCTTATACTTCTGTTAGCAAATAATATACTTCTGTACTTTAATGACATTTTTTGTAATGGTTCTATCACAGAGTTGGATTTGATATGATCAGTGATGTGTTGTAAAGTTTGAAATAATTTACAATGCCATTTCTTTTCTTGCATTATTTCTTATAATTTATAATAGCAATTTCTGTATAGAAACTTTTCTACTTATTTATAATGAAATTTCTTTTATTACCAGTTNTTTCTACACAATAAACAAATAAATAATTAATTTTTAAAAATAAAAACATTTAACTCTTCTTTAAAAAGTGTTTGATGGAAAAATTATTAATGAATTTCCAATAGAAAACAGATGAGAACTGTTAAATTTACAGAGTAAACAGTTTATTTAAATAGATTTTTTCTGATTTTTTACATTGAAAACAAACAGTGTGATAAAATCAATATGTTGACATAAAATACAAATCTAAAATAGTGAGATGTCTTCTTTGCAGTAAGTAAAGTTTATTCAACAAAAAAGTCAAAACTAAAAAATATATAAAAATTATGATATACAAGATGAAAGAAGAATTGAGGGTTTTATATAGGGTACTTATACTACATAAGCTATATTATCATATAAAACATCTCATGTAATTCAGCAATCCTTTTGGTAGCCAACAACTCCTTCAATTTAGGATATAATGTGGCGAGAGTCAAATATTTAAAGGGAGGAGCTAATAGGAGTCGTTGTAATCAATCTTCTGGAGTCAGCCTCGCCCTCTTGTAGCTAATAAATTGTACCTGACGTCACACAATATGAGGTTTTTCTTTCTTGCCTCTTCTAAATAAGAATTTCCTCTTTTATTGCATCTCCTGTAGCAGCAGGTTTTCTTCGTTTAACTTGACAGCTTTGATTGTAATGTCGAACGTCGTTTCTGGTTATAATTTTCAATACATCTTTTTTATGTTTGACTTTTATACGGTTTCTTAAATTAATTGTAGTTTTATGACTAATAAATATTTATAGGTCATCTTTTCTAAAGGTTATATACAAGAAAATAAATATTCCAAAAGTTTCATTTAATAAATTGTTTTTTTATCTTAATAAAATTTATGAACTTTAAATTACTAATTAAACAATTTAAATTTATTTTTTATTATTAAATAAACAAGGTACACGTTGCTTAATTTGATTAAAAAAACTATCTAATAAAATAAATTATAACTATCTTCTCGTAATTTGCTTTCAATGTTTTCCTCGAATTTCTCCAAGCATTGTATTCAAATTACATTTCTTTTTTATTTCTCTTCTTTTATCCAATATTAAACCAATTGAAATGAATTTCAGCAAAGTAACCTAACATAAAAGCTTAAAATCGAATTAAACACTATATTTTCTTAATGGAAATTAAATTATAGACGACTCCTATTGTAAGTAGCATAACAAACAGATTCCATTAGAAAATAAAGGTTGTTTTCACAATTTAACAGCCTTCAAATTGGCGATAATATCTACCTTTGTTTCCTATACCGCTGTCTAAAAGTACTGTACTATTGATACTGCACATTCGTTAATGGAATTGTTCAACTTGACGTGTATCAGTATAATGACTTTACCCATTAAAGTGCTGCGTATTATCTGATGCTACCAATTATTTTTCACGAATGTCTTTTCTCACAGAAAGTGACCGATTGTCGTGTTATTACTATTTTTGTCTTTTCATAACATTTTCTTCCTTATCCTATACGTTCCCCCCCCCCTTTTCTTTGCTCTTTCCTCCCCTTCGAAAGATAAAAAATAATTAAGAAAGAATCAGAACTATACT